CTCACCTGCAGTGAGTGATACGAATGAAAGATCGGATTGTAGGATGCTAAGTGCCAAGTGAAGACTTGAGCACAACAGATCCTAATAATCATATAAAGACACATATATGTACATAATTAGTGTTTATACAACTAATCATGCAAGGAACACACCTTAGGAACTAGGAAACACTTATATGGAAGTGTTATAATCACAAAGGATTGCATCTAAGGAGTTTAAGGCCACACTATGGTTTTTACGGCCATGTGTTCACGACCATATGAGTTTGCGGCCATAGGGTTTGCGGCCCTATGAGTTTACGACCGTAAACTCATGAAATCTTGTGCCAATAAGTGATTTAAGGTCATAAAAACATCAAGGAAGTGTTCTAGACCCGATCCAAGCCTTAAGGAAGAGTTTATGTCCAACTTGAAGGCTTAACAAGGGTTTACGACCAAGGGAGATGCTCCTGGACGTAAACTCTCTTTGATCATGGATATTTGATGATTTCAAGTAGCATAACCAGTAAGTAATACACAAGGGAAGGTACTTACGAGTTTAGAAGCCTTTAGGGGTGTTTGAAGTCCAAGAACTTAGTAGGTGTTCTTGGGAAAACGAAGAGCACTTGAAGATCAAACCCAAAACATGAAATTAATGGATGAAATCAAAGGGTAATACTAGATAATGAGATGTATCAATGATTCAAGGGAAGAAACACTTACATTTTTGGAAGATAAAAATGAAGATCTTATGATACTTGAGAGAGAATCAAGTTCTTGAGGTTGAAATGTGAATAATGAGGAAGAAATAAAGGAATATCATGTTTATAGCCCGAGTTTACGGCCACCTTGAGTTTACGGCCGTAAACTCATATGGTGTGGCCGTAAACTCCACATGATGAAGTTTATGGCTTGCTTGGTGCACAATGGACTCAAGCAGATACTTCCTAACACTCATTTCTTGGATGTATTAGGTTTAAAACGCTCTAATTGACTCTAAACAATGCTAGAAGATAGCAAAATGAGTCCAACCTTGATTGATTTGAACACTATTCAAGATAGAAATTTCGGGTTGTCACAGGTGGCGGTGTGCCTTGTTGGGTTTGTGACTCATTTGGATGTTGGGACAAGAGACTATTAAACCCTAATGGGCCTAAAGAAACCAAAGTGGGCCCAATGAAGCCCTAATGGGCCCAATAAGGCCCAAAGTGACCTAAAAGCCCAACCAATGGACTAATGGGCTAGTAATGGGTTGGTAAACCCTAATTAGGGTTTAGAAAACCCTAAGAGCATAAAACCCTAAGTGTGGGAATTGTTTGGGACACACACGAGAATTAATTATTAAACTTAAAATAATAATTAATAATCATTGGCAAACTAACTTAGCAATAATGGACTTAATGGATTAAGTCCTTAAAGGGTTAAGTAAGAAACACTTAACCCTAATCATCATTTCATATGAAAGCCCTAATCTCACTCGGGCCTTGAATTGGGCCTTCCTATTGGGCTTTGGCGATTGGACTATTGATGGGCCATCCAAGAACAAATTAATGGACCAAAGTAATTAGATGGGCTTTAGGATAAGGCCCATGTGAGCACTTGGGTCCAATTTGGAAAATTGGGCCATAGATGGGCCATAATTGGCCCTTTATGATTATGTGATAATGTGCCATGGGAATTGGATTGGAATAATTGGATGGGCCTTAAGGAAAGACCATGTAGAGGTTTGGGCCCAATTTGGAAAATTGGGCCATATATTGGGCTTTGGCCCATGATTTGACTTTTGGGCTTTTGTAGTGTGAGTTGGACCTTGGGCTTGGAACCCAATTATTAATTGGGTATTGTTTGATGTTGACAGTTCGGGAATCTGTCAACCAGCAGCGGGAGCTTTACCTGCGGGACTTCAGCAATGTCAGGTGAGTTATCCTCACTATACTAAGGGGTCTAAGGCACCAAGGCCGACCCATTGGATATGATATCCTAGTAGTTGTATTATGTTGAGTATGAGTTGGTTATGCATGCTAGTTTGATATGCTAGAGGGTAGGTCTGAAGGACTACCTGTGACACTGATTGATTATATGTATGTGCATTTATCTGTTACATGTCGACATGTTATGTGGGATGGGTTGAGGTTGTACTGCTCCGTGCGGTAGTCAACAAACCCCATAGTATTCCAGATATGAGCTGAGGGCCCGGTAGACATTCTAGACTCATACTGAGGACTCGGGAGCATTCTAGATACGAGTTGAGGGCCCGGTAGGCATTCCAGACTCGTACTGAGGGCTCGATGGCAATCCAGATGTGAGCTGAGGGCCCGGTAGGCATTCCAGACTCACACTGTGGGCCCAGAGGTATTCCAGTCTGTAAAGCTGTGGACCCGTTACGTGCTGTTCTGTTCAGTTTTGTTATGATATGTTATTTGTTCATGTGTTACTGGACTGTATGTGTATCAGTATTTTGGGGGTAACTCACTAAGCTTTCGGGCTTACAGTTTCAGTTTATTGTTTCAGGTGCATTAGGGGATCGTGGCAAGGCAAAGGCGTGATCGTACAACTCCTCACTTTTTATGACTTTGTTTCTGGGATACTCTGATATGATACATTTTGAAAACAAGTTTGTAATAGTTAATGGATTTGAAATGTTTTTTAAAGTTTAAATTGGCTTGATTTTACGGGTGTTACAAATCCAATTGTCCAAAGGGCCCAAAATCCAAAATAATCACCCAAAGCCCAAATATGCCCTAATTTTCCAAATTGGGCCCAACCCATTGAATGGGTGTTCAACCAAGAAAGTCCAATAAAATATCAACAACCCAACAATAGACTTCTGATGGCCCAATAAGGCACAAGACAACTAAAGTCCAACATGGCCCAAAACCGAGAGCCCAAAAGTCCGAAGCCCAATCTGCTGAGTACGCGGGGGCGTAAATCAGCTCGTACGCTTAGCGTACTCGCTTTAGGGCTTGTACGCGCAATGTACCTGCATGTACGCCCAACGTATTGCACCAGCTTGGCCAACTTCCCATATTCAGCTCTTAATCTATTAAGATTTCAACCTAAACTCATTTCTGACTTCCTTAAGGTGGTTTATCACGTAAAGTTGCCAACATTACGTGCATGCATGACTTAATGGGGCTCTAGAGCTCAAAAGAGCTTTATAAGGACTTAACACACGCATGAGACCAAAACCACCATAAAGTTTGCAACTTTATGCTTAAGAAACCCTTAATATGCCTAGATCTACAAGGATAAGCTCCATAAACGACCTTAGCTCACAAGCATCACCCAAAAAGGGACCAAAATAGCCAAAAACAAGCCAAGGAGTAAATCTATGAAATGAGTTGACAAGCTATAAGGTTTATACCTCACAAGCCACGAAATGGAGGTGCTAAAGCTGGATCTCTAAGCTCCTCTCCAAAGGATGAGTCTTCAACCTTCTCCTTCCCTTCAAGATGCACAAAATACACCATAAAAGCTTCACAAGAGCTCAAAAGCACCACACAAAGGCTAAGAGACGAATTTAGGGTTTTAGGATATGTAGGTTGGTCTAGAAATGACCAAATGAGGCTATCATATGGCTTATATAGAGTGCAAGCCCTAAAATTAGGGGTTCATACATGCTCACGTACGCTAAGCGTACTCCACGTAAGCCCAACGTACGTGGATGAGCTCCACGACCACCATCAGCTAGTACGCCCAACGTACTCCAACTTTCCTAAAGTTGGCAATTCTGCCCCCTATGGATCAATTCTGCAAAACATCAACACACCAAGGGGTCTATACTGAAAGGTACTTGAATCGAGTGTTACAATCATTTTATTATTATTGTTATTATTTATTTAGGGAGGATATTCAAATGTCAAAGAAAGAGTTGGAGACAGTTGATGGACATTGAAGATGTAGTGAATTGGTCATATATTTTTGGATATGTCGTATTTTATATTTGTAATATTGGATTTATCATATTGTTATATTTGTAAGTTTGTTAGATTTTCGTTTTGTAATGTTGAATTTTTAATTTTTTAGTTGCTTTAAGCTTTTAAAGTTATGTAAAATAGTTTTTTAGCAAAAAAATATAGCAGATTTTTTTAGCAAAAACGTCAATTTCAAACTTATAAAACTGGAGAACAAAGACGGAATCGAGGCTATGTAAACGGGGGATTTGGAGGGTGGAGACAACAATTGATTTCAGGAGAGAAGGCGGAGACAGCTATTTCGGCTTCTTTTTTAGGGGAGTGGAGCCGACACCTCACTCATCTCCGAGCAGCCAATACAGTATTATTACCGTATTGCTCAACTCTACATCAGCTTCTCCTTTGTCAATTGTCAACATCCACTCCCACATCATCCTTTTAGCTCCTACTCCCAGTCTCCCACTCCCACCTACCTTAGACCTTAGCCATGTAGTTCCCAACTTATGTACGTACGAGAATTGGTGTCAGGATATTGTCTTGTCTTCTTCCAATACACACCGCTACACAGACCTTGAATCATCCATAAAAATATAAAGATTCTTACAGAGGCTTTACAGAATCAACTTAAAAAACAGTTTCTTCGGTACTTGTTCTTTGTTATCTAAATTAACACTTGATTTCAACCGTGTTCATTAGGATTTAAATGTTCTTGTGGGTATTTACTTTTGCAGTTGATCAATTGATTAGTCAATAGCTGTTGGCTTCACCAATATTCAACGCCTTTGATTGAGGTTTAAGTTAGATCAATTCATCTTCAAATTAGGTGGAATCTCTACCAATAATTTTTCAGAGAATAGTAACGAAGTTTGAATTTAATCCTCTGTGAACTCATCAAGTCTTAATCTTGAAAAAAAAACATACAATTTTCTAATCTTGATTGAGCCACATCCATGATCATGTCATCATGTGATGTTTCCTTGTCATATTGAATACATGTAGTAATTTTTTTTATTGCTATTTATGGTACAAAACTGGAAGAAAATAGTACAAGTAGATGAAGCAAACACAACAATATCAATGAAAAACACGCCGACATTTTTGCAAAAAACTAAACCTGCAATTTACGAACATCGGCTTTCAGAGTCTTGTAATTAAACCCCGAGATCATTTTAGGTCCATTGATATCTGCTACATCGATCACAGAACAGAATCTTGGAACAAATTTGTTGCCTCTTTTCTTGCTTTTCGGGGTTTTAGTCGCTGAATCTTGTTCACCCGAAGTTGTAGCTGCTTCCGCTACTTGTAAGCTATGCTTTCGAGAGTGTACTTTAACTTCAAGCATGTTGAAATACTCGAGTTCTTTCATCATGAGAGATCCAACGGTTCCTTTTGTGCCAATCTTGACTGGAGTTTCTGTCGCCATTTTTGCAGGTGTTAATGAAACAGTGGTGGCATTAGGTTTCAAAGCCATCTTTGTTTTGTTATGGTGTTGAATTTGAAATCTTGGCCTATATGAATGAAATGGAGGATCTTGTGTTTTTTTCAGAGGTTATGGTGATGATGATGTGGCACTGTTGTGTTCATGAGTATGCAGTGGAAACATTTAACTTCTGGGTGGGGGGCTCCCAAGTCCATCTTCTAACTTCGACACCTCATAGATCGCTTATGGTAAATATCATGTGACAAGGGTATAAATGTCATTTTGGTGTAATGTATCCAAAGGGGATGGGTCGCTTTAAATATGAACTTCATCTTCCACCTCTAAAAGGATTAATTGGATTTGAACCTTTTTTGGATATACATTTTTCTATTAATTTGTATTGTCGTATGTAATGTATATGTAACTTCATCCATTTTCTCATGTGAATCTCTTATAAGTTTTAACAATTGTTATTTTATGATATTTTAAAAAATATATATATATCGACATATAAATTTTCTAATTTTTTTTTTCAATTTTTAAAACTAAAAAACAAATAATACTATATGTAAAGTATTAAATGTAATAAATGTGATAGTAAATTTCAATTAATATTTTTATCTTCATTCATTATTTAAAAATTTTATTTTAACAAATAGTTGTTGTTTACACTTTCATATTTAATTTTTTTAGTCAACTGGTGTAATATAAGGATTTTACACATATTTTCATGATAAAGGTAAAAATGAATATGAGTTGGTTTTAAAACGGATACGGGTTTAGTTTCTGCATGAGTTGGTTTTTCACTTTTTTTTTGGTTTTTCCAATTGGATTTATGGGTATTTGGTTTTAAACCGTGGGTTTGTAGGTTCTTTTTTTTTAAACCCATTGAAATACGTTGCATAAATCTACATTATTCAATTTAAATATACTAAAATAACCATACAATAAAGATTAAATAATACATACGATGCGTCGTCTTTTAAACTCATGGATCGGTTCGGTTTATATCACAAATCTGAACCAAAACGATAATATCAGTTTTTATATAAAAATTAAACCAACTCCGTCTGTTATTGTTGGGTGTTCTGTTTAGTCGTTTTTTCGATTTTCAATTCGTTTTTTGCTTGTCCTTAAATAATACATACGACGCGTCGTCTTTTAAACTCATGGATCGGTTCGGTTTATATCACAAATCTGAACCAAAACGATAATATCAGTTTTTATAAAAAAATTAAACCAACTCCGTCTGTTATTGTTGGGTGTTCTGTTTAGTCGTTTTTTTCGATTTTCAATTCGTTTTTTGCTTGTCCTTAAATAATACATACGACGCGTCGTCTTTTAAACTCATGGATCGGTTCGGTTTATATCACAAATCTGAACCAAAACGATAATATCAGTTTTTATAAAAAAATTAAACCAACTCCGTCTGTTATTGTTGGGTGTTCTGTTTAGTCGTTTTTTCGATTTTCAATTCGTTTTTTGCTTGTCCTTAAATAATACATACGACGCGTCGTCTTTTAAACTCATGGATCGGTTCGGTTTATATCACAAATCTGAACCAAAACGATAATATCAGTTTTTATAAAAAAATTAAACCAACTCCGTCTGTTATTGTTGGGTGTTCTGTTTAGTCGTTTTTTCGATTTTCAATTCGTTTTTTGCTTGTCCTTAAATAATACATACGACGCGTCGTCTTTTAAACTCATGGATCGGTTCGGTTTATATCACAAATCTGAACCAAAACGATAATATCAGTTTTTATAAAAAATTTAAACCAACTCCGTCTGTTATTGTTGGGTGTTCTGTTTAGTCGTTTTTTCGATTTTCAATTCGTTTTTTGCTTGTCCTTAAATAATACATACGACGCGTCGTCTTTTAAACTCATGGATCGGTTCGGTTTATATCACAAATCTGAACCAAAACGATAATATCAGTTTTTATAAAAAATTAAACCAACTCCGTCTGTTATTGTTGGGTGTTCTGTTTAGTCGTTTTTTCGATTTTCAATTCGTTTTTTGCTTGTCCTTAGACAAAGATAAAAATGTTATTATTACTTATTTATGGTATGTGAAAAGGGATGAGAGATTTTAAATATCGATATAAACTGTCTTTTTTATGTTATTCTTATATGTAATGCATGTTAAATTTCTTTTAGAAAAATTAAATATCTTTCTTATAATAAAAATCATGTAACAAGGGTAAAAATGTCATTATGGCTTAATTAATGTATGTGAAGGGAATGGGAGATTTTTAATTTCGTATAAAATGTCGATTTATGTTCTCCGTACATGTAATATATGCTAAATTCTTCATGGTAAAATCATGTGACAAGGAAAAAGTGTCATTAGGGGCTTACTTATGGTATGTGAAATGGATGGGAAATTTTAAATTTCATATAAATTGTCTTTTTATATTATCCATATATGTAATGTATGCCAAGTTTTTTATTGTAAAGATCGTGACAAGGGTAAAAATGTAATTATTGCTTAATTTTGGTATGTGAAAGTGATGGGAGGCTTTAAAGATGAACTTTACCTCTCCCCTTTTAGTGAACAAGTTGGCTTTTAGCTTCTTGCTTTTTTCATTATAAATCAACATGCATTGTATGGAGATAAATGAGATATTTAACCATAGTGTTGAATGAAATCATGTGAAAAGATATGTCAAGGTATCATGTGAACTTAATAGTATGTATCATTTCCCATCATGTTAGAACACTGTTTACAAGACTTTGAATATGTCATTGAAGATTATGCGTATTCATAAATCCTTGACAATTTAGTAGATGAGTTATTAAGATTGATTAAAATTAGAACATTTAAGTTATTGGTACAAATTCTTGGATTTGAGTTTTTGAGTAACATTAATGTTTGATTCGCAAGGGCTACCAAGTTACTGTTTTGCCCCTTGGTGTTTTGCTTCATGACCATTATGAAGGAAAACCTTTTTCATAACATAAAAGGATGCAACACCTTTTATTATGATATGAGACATTTATATAGTATTTGATAGGGGAAATGACTTATGTGGATAATTAACTATTGTCTTTGTACTCGTATGGTCAATTTTTTTTTTTTTTTTTTTTTTTTTTTTTTTTTTTTTTATCTGATTTACCATTAAACTTGTTGTAGGTGTTCACAGAAACCATTGAAACCGGCTATTGAAGGTTTCCGACAATTTCTTATCTCCGGCGACTCTCCGGTCGTCTTCTCCGGCGAGCCTCCGACAAAAATTAGTTTTTCTGGCGAACTTTTCTCAACTGCCATCCAAGCGACACCCACCGCTGGTGCTGCTGCTTAGCTTTCCCTACCCTCCCCTCTCTCCCTCCCGTCGATTTGCTGCCAGAAAAACGTAGAAGGGATGAGACAGCAAGAATCCGTCGCTGCCACCTCCTCCTGTCATCACTGGAACCCACCTGCCACCTCCCTTTTGCCGCTGGTAAACCACCATCACCACCACATGCTGCTCTAAGTCATCTGGCCGAGACCCAATGATCTGTCGGAAAACTCATTTTTGCCGGAGGTTGCCGGAGAAGACAACCGGAGATAAGAAATTGCCGGAAACCTTCAGTAGCCGGTTTCAATGGTTTCTGTGAACACATACAATAAGTTCAATGGTAAATCAGATACAAAAAAAAAGGAAAGTGACCAGATGAATACAAAGACAATAGTTAATTACCCACATAAGTCATTTTCCCGTATTTGATAAAAACAATTACATTTGACAGGATCACATAAGCAAGAAAAAACAGAAAGTTATAATCTTGACCATAAAAGCAAACACACAAAAAAATAAAAAAGACACCACTTTTTAGTTTTGTATGTTCATAAAATAATATATTTTTCCCATTATCAGTTGGGGCCATTAATGGTTTAACGATATATATGTGAGGTAAATGATATTTAAAGTAATGATTATTAAAGTTTTTAATAAGTCCGATATTATATCTCAGAAAAGTACAATCTACATTAGGCATTAGCAAGTAATAAATCAACAGAAAGTAAAACGGCAAAAACAGGAAAAACGAAAATAAAGGGACAGTTTTAAAAATAATGACATGTGGAAGCTTTTCTCTTGTATCAGAGCCAGGTTTCGATCCTGGGACCTGTGGGTTATGGGCCCACCACGCTTCCGCTGCGCCACTCTGATTTGTTGATTACAATATCAAATTAATAATAGTAACGGATAGGCAGACCTAGTGGTTCAGTTTTTTTTTTTTTTTTTGTTAGGAACATTGTTAGTATTTTTATCCCATATAGTATACCATTAATTAAACTCCTTTCCGATATTCTTTTTTTATATACCAAATTAAAGGCTCAAAATTTAGACTTCTCTCATGGATCTTAAAGAAAAGTTATTGTGCAAAATGTGTAGGGTGTAGATGGAAAGAATGTTGTTACTTAAGTTTCCATTGATGAAACCAGTGATCTGATTCCAAATTTCGGGCATGATTTTGAAGCCCCTTGTGTCTTATCCCAATAAATTGACCCAACCCCATTTTTTCGTGAGCCCCAAATCCAAATGGTTCATCCCCAATAAATTGACCCAACCCCATTTTTTCGTGAGCCCCAAATCCAAATGGTTCATCCAGCAGCCAAATTTAATTTTTTAAAAAAAAGTAAGGTTTTAAGATTTGTTTGGCAATGATTTTTTTGTGGGTAGCAGCACAAAAGAAAACGGTTTTTCTTAAGACATAAAAAATCCTATATCCGATCCGAAATCGGTTTTTAGGAAATCCAGGTAAAAAACTTGTATGGATTTATTTTACCTGTTGGATACGGGTCAAGTTTTCAAAAAAATGGAAGTTATATTTTTACCATGGAAAAAACGTAATGAGACGATTTCCATGATCGCCTTTTTGAGTTTCGTAGCCTTTTAAGTCTTGCACAAAATTTTGCCAATATTTCCAAATCTTCTATTTTTTTCGTTAATTCGTTGGATTCTTTGCTTCTATTTCCATGCTTTTAATTTCTCTTCAACTTATTGTTATTCATACATAAAAAAGTTAACAATAAAGTCTTTGAAGTTTTAAAAGCATAACAAAATTAATTATAAATCTTGCAATTTACAAAATATCTTTTGAATTGTTATGGTTTATCGATTTTCTATTATAAAAGCTGATAACCATTGAACATTTTGTCCGGTAACCGGAAATTGTCTTCCACCTCTCCTTCGGGTTCCGACAACAATGGCTGACAGCATCAACGCCGCCGTTCAAGTTAACAACGGAACCACATCAAACAACGGTGGTGAGATGATACATCCTCCGCCTATTATTTCATCTTATAACGACAAGATACGCCCCATTCTTGATGCTGTCGATAGTCTTCGTCGCCTTAAAGTCATCGCTCTCCCCACCATCGTGGTCGTCGGAGACCAGTCCTCCGGCAAGTCCAGCGTTCTAGGGTCACTTGCCGGCATAAGTTTGCCTCGTGGACAAAACATCTACACAAGGGTACCTCTTATTATGAGGCTTCAAAACCATTCAGATCCTTTGCCTGAACTCCTACTGGAGTATCAGAAAAAATCCGTTAAGATCATGGAAGAAAACCAGATATCAAATGCCATTGATAAGGCTACAGTGGAGATAGCCGGAAACAACAAAGGGATATCAAATGTTCCATTAACTTTGGTTGTCAAGAAGAAAGGTGTTCCGAATCTCACCATGATTGATTTGCCAGGAATTACAAGAGTTGCCATCGGTGATCAACCCGAAAACATTTACGAACAAATAACAGGTAATTCATTTATTAATTAATGAACTTTTTTCAATGGTCTTGTTAAAGCAAACCATGCATGCAGCCAACTTAAATTGATTCGAAACTTGTGTTTTATAATTGGGTTTTGAATGTTTCAGATATGATTATGGAGCACATAAAGCCAGAAGAAAGCATTATTTTGACTGTTCTTGCAGCAAGTGTTGATTTCGCGACATGTGAATCCACTTGCATGTCACGACGTGTGGACATCAATGGACAACGAACACTAGTCGTGGTAACCAAATCCGATCTTTCCCCAGATGGCTCACTTGAGAAAGTTACATCAAATGATGTGAACATCGGACTTGGCTACATTTGTGTTAGAAACCGGATCAAAGATGAAACCTATGAAGAAGCTCGAATCCAAGAAGAAAAGCTTTTTGAAACTCATCCCTTGTTGTCCAACATTGATAAATCCATGGTGGGTGTTCCTGTATTAGCCTCTAGACTTGTTGAGATTCAATCAATGATCATATCGAAATGTTTGCCGGATATTGCAAAGAAGATCAATGAGAAGCTTAATGCTTCGGTTTTGGAGCTCAACAAATTACCCAGGGTTCTAAGCGGCATTGCGGATGCAATGACTGCTTTTATGCAAATCGTTGGGTCCCTCAAAGAAACTTTTCAGACGATTATGATCCATGGTGAGTTTGAGTATTTAGATGATAAAGAAATGAATTGCAATGCTCCATTGGTTGAAATGTTGGACGAGTTTTCAAAAGAACTCCATAAGAGCATCATATTTCGTGGAAACTTTCTAGTTGAGGAGATACAGGTTTTAAAGGAAGCCAATGGGATGCGGTTGCCTTCTTTTCTTACACATTCTGTGTTTATGTGCTTACTTAAGAGAAAACTGAATAACATCTAAGATTTACCAGTTAGTTTTGTAAACAAAGTATGGGGATCTTGAAACTGTAGTAGTTAGCGTCTTGATTGATCATTGTGGGAGTTATCCACAAATGCTTCCTTCCATAAAGAAAGCATGTCTTAATGTGATGTTACGAATGAAGGAGAAATTGATAGAAATGGTTATTGAAATGATAGAGATGGAGAAAGTCACAGATTACACGTGTGACCCCGATTACATTGCTTCATGGAACAAGTTAATGGGTAAGAGTCGTGATAGGTTTTTGAAGGCTGTCACCATTTATGATTCTGAATGGGAATTAGATGATTTTGAAACAGCTGAATTTGATATGGAAGGTTATGGGACGATTAGAGTGGAACATCTATTTTCTGTTCCCTCAGATACAAGAAATCAAGCATTCGATTTAACAGTGAGAGTCACAGCTTACTGGAACATTGTGTTGAAAAGAATGGTGGATTGGATAGCTCTTGAGCTTCGTTTTGGGATACACAAAATGGTGAACAAGGAGATGGAAAAGGAGATAGTATACGAGGTGATGGTGCGTGGTGGTGTTATGGAGAAGATGCTGGAAGAACCAACATCGGTGGCTGCAAAGAGGGAGAGGCTTCAAAAGAGTATCAGTTTGCTCCAGGAATCAAAAGAAATAATCAATCAAGCGATGGATGGTATTTGAGCTGATTAGAGTTTTTAGTATGGGAATCAAAACGTTTTCTTTCCATATGGTATTATAGTTAGAGTTCGATTAGGGTATTATGGGAACTAAGCATTTTGTTTGCATGTTACAAGTCTTAATTAGTTTTAACTAAACGGGTTGTTAGATGAGTATGTGTTTTTTAATTAATATATTTAGCTACTTGTGAGACCTATGTATTATTATGTATTACATAGGTTAATTTAAAAAAAAAACTAAATATAAAAATCTAAATATTTGATAACTTTAAATTTATAAAAAAAAATGAGAAAAATAATGAATTATTAAAATTGAAATATTTTTTTTATATTTTAAATTTAAATAAATAAACAAAAGGAATTAGTGAGCTTTAATTTGAGAATTTTGAAATTAGAAGGTAAGTCCATTAATGAAATTGATATTCATTTATTACTACATTTATTGTAATTATTACATTAAAATATTATGTAGAATTTAATAAAATAAGAAAACTCATAAAATGACATGTGGAAAAAAATTAATTCAAAATAACCAAAAAATGACATTTGACAAATTGAATGAGAATTTGACATGTGACAAAAAAATCTTCATTTATTAGAGTAGACTTGTCTCACCTTTCCAGTGGCGTCTATGATTATGTGACTTAGAATTGAAAGCTCAAAATAAATCCGACTCCGATTTTGGTGTGCTTTAGTCCATATTCAAGAAGTAGAAGCTTGGTGCAAGGTGGTGGATCAAGGAAAAGCTTGTGGATCTTGACTAGTTGCTTCATTTTCAGCTTGTTTGAGGTATAAAGCTATGAACTTGTTCGTTTATGGCTTAGATCTATTATATATGAGTTTTGGTCCCTTTTTGACCCCAAGGATGTGATCTAGTGGTTTGATACCACTCCAGGAGCTATGAGTTGTCACTCTTAGTGTTTCTAAGGTTCTAGATTCATAAAGTTGGCACCTTTAGGGTTTAGATCCATCCATGCATGAGTTTATGTCCATTTAATGAAAGTAAGGTTTTATATTTTGAAGTTGTGTCTTTATGTGGCATGCAAAGTCAACCAAGTCAGTGACTTTATGGTTACAGATTCTTATTAGGACTTGGATTTGTGGTTGGGGATTCTGGGCTTAAGCATTAAGTGCTTAATGTGGAATTTGGCTTATTGGGTGAGTACGTTGGGTGTACAAGTCTGTACGCATGACGTACAAGCCATTTAGCAAGTACGCTTAGCGTACAGCTGGGTACGTCCCACGTACTCAGTCTGTTGGGCTTAGCGTTATTGGCTTCAAGTTTGGACCATTTTATTGCGCTTGGATGCTTGGGTTCTTGTTGGGCCATCTGAGTACAAGTATTTTGGACTAGGAAAAGTTGTTGGGCTTTAGGGTAAGGCCCATGAAGGGTTTAGGCCCAATATAGAAAATTTGGGCATAAGTGGGCCTTGGTCGATTAATTGGTTTTGGGCCTTTTAGATTTTGAGTTTGGGCCTTAGCCTTGGGCCAAACTAGGTGAGGGGTAAAATAGTCTTTTTACCCCAAGTATGGATTGTTGGACCTATGGTTATGGATTGGAACCCAAATGTTAATTGGGTGTTCTTTTGGTATTTATTAGCTCGGGGATTCGTTGGACCAGCAGCCAGGGATTTTTCAGTGAGATTTCAGCAGTCGAGGTGAGTTTACTCACTGGGTATAGCGGATCTAAGGCACCAATGCCGACCCTTATTGTTTATGTTAGGATGCTAGGAGTCTGCGTGACCCTTGGATGTGTTATGTGTTACTATGTATGCCGGACGAGGCCCGATGACTGAAACATGTGCTATTGTTTTATGATCATTGTATGTGTTAGCATGATTATGATATATATATATATATATATATATATATATATATATATATATGTGTGTGTGTGTGTGTGCTGTATGTGTATAGTGGGTAGGGCCCTATGTCAGGCGGGGCCTAAGAATAACATATCTATATACCAAGCGGGGCTCGATGCCGGGCAGGGTCCGATGGAGGTCGGGGGCCCAATATGTGATTTATTATGTATGGTATGGGGTAATTTGGAGAACTCACTAAGCTTTGTGCTTACGGTTTTCTGTTTATGTTTCAGGTAATTCTGGTTCCACGGGGAAGAGCTCGGGATGACTGCATCGCACATACCATATGGATTACGCTTTTGAGATATTACTCTGATTGATATGATGTTTGATACACTTATTTTCATTTGGTTGTATGGATAATGTTTTTGGAATACTATTTTATTTAAATTGAAAATGAAAATTTTGGACCATATTTTGCGACGTTACATTCTTGGTTAAGACATTGAACACAAAGGATACTGATGTTGGGACCCTATATCAAAATGACTTCGTATCTCCCATCATGTCACTTTCTGGGAACACAAAACATTATCCCCTCTCCACCTTCTTTCTTTCTCTCTCTCTCTCTCTCTCTCTCTCTCTCTCACTTCCAAACGTAATCTCCTTCAACCTCTCTCTACTTTACAGACGCCTCAGTCTCATCGGACCATTCCCAATCAATTAAGATACTTTAGACTCGACCCTTCCAGAACCACCTTCTCCTAGTCCAGTTGACCACGTTGAACCAATTGTTACGAGTTCACAACCTATCTATGATACATCTTATCAATCTACAGATCTTAGTCACACTGCAACATCTAAACCCATACATACTAATCGGGTAAGACAAACCCCCTCTCATTTACGTGATTTTCACTGTTACACCACTCTTTTATCGTACCATGAATCTTCCTCCTACAAGGAAACAATTTCCTTCTCATTGTGGCAGAATGCTATGCAAAAAGAAATTCAAGCTTTAAAGAAAGCTCAAACTTGAGAAATTGTTCCACTTCTACATGGGAAGTCTCTTAACGGTTCCAAATGGGTATATAAAGTTAAAACTCGATCTGATGGTACCATTGATAGGTATAAAGCACATCTTGTTGCTAAAGGTTTAAATCAAGAATATCTGATTGATTAAGAGGAGACTTTTGCTCCGGTTGCATGTATCACTTAAGTCCGTAGCTTACTAGCTATTGTTGTGTCTCACAGTTGGTCTTTATATCAAATGGACGTCAAAAATGCCTTCCTCAGTGGTGATCTTGTTGAAGAAGTCTATATGCGTCCTCCAAGTGGCGTTGATCACCTCCAAGCCATGTATGTCGCCTCCAATAAGCTCTTTATGGCCTTAACTAAGCACCACTATTCCTTCTCTGGGGTTTTCTTCAATTCCCTACGATTTGCCTTTATTTACTCGTATCACCAAAAGTGGTACCATTCTACTAATACTATATGATGATGATATAATCATTATAGGGAGTGATGATAATGGTATCCAGCAATAAAAACAGTATCTCAGTTCCACCTTTAAGATGAAAGATCTGTTGGATTAAGGTGTCTAAGATCCTAACTAAATTGGTATAATGTATGAAGAATAAAAGTAAAGTCCTTTTTGGGTTGCCCTCATAACCACGAAATGACTTGGATTGATTAGAGGAAAGAGATATATGATTTATTAATATATTAAATGATTGACATATTAATTAGAAAAAGCAATAATTAATTAAACATTAATCGAAATTAATTTAGAATAAATTATGGTTTAATTAGAATTAATTAAAGATAAAATGTGTGACAACTGGGAAATTTTGGATTTAGCTAAGATTAACATGTAGCTATGTATAAGTGCAACCCCAATGTAACCTCGTTGTAACAAAAATTTGAAAGCCAAAAGGGGCATTGTATATATGTATATATGCATACTTTGATAATCATGTTTGTAAATAAACAGTTAAAGGTCAAGCCAAATCGTTGGAAAATAAATCATAAATTAATACCTTACTTCATAGTCTTAGGCCTAGAACCCCACTAAGGCCGAAATCACCCAAGGAATCCAAACCATTAGGACCGAAATCACCCTAGTGGGTGATACATGAACCGAAAACCCCTTCATAGGCCATAACAAGACCAAAAACACCATAGGAAATGCTTAGGACCGAAATCAATAAGTCAAAGTCAAGCCTAGGACCGAAATCACATGTGATTTCGGTCATGGTAGGGGTTTCAAGGAGTGTTCGGTCAAGATAAAGGGAGGATAAGGAAGTTGACTTTAAGATTTGATATCTCACCCCTTTCCCATGCAAAGTCACAATATCCCATGCAATAACCCAACATATATCCATGAAAAACCAACACTTATCAACGTAGATATCACATCAATTTTCTACTCCCTATATTTGGACGAGTTCAGTTCACAAGCCCCACCACTATCCTATTCTACTTCCTATTGATTTCTCCTTATTCTCTCAAAACTTCATTTCCAAGTTTCCAAGGATTTTAAGCTCCGAGTTCATCCTTAGATTTTGGTAAGTATTTTCATAATACCCTAGTGTTTATATACATTTTTATGTTGGTTTCATCATCTTTACACACATTAATATGTGTTTAACACTTAGGATAATACTCTTTCCATGGAAGTGAAACAAATTCATTCAAGGGTTTAGGCTTGAAATCTTCACTTCGTCACCTCAAATAACTCACAAATCCACTCAAAGTGAGTTCATACCCCCACATTTTCAAGCTTTTTCATGTTTTTAGGGGGCGGGGGATACAAATCAAAATTTGTTTATCATAAAAATAATTGCATGTTTTATCTGATGTTAAAATATAAGATATTGTTTGCATAAGATGCAGTAATCACTAGCTTTATCCAAATATTTGTGTTATATTAGTTTTAAAATGTAAAACTAACAAAACAAACATAATCTATGCTATAAGATCATAAGAAAATTTAAGATTTGTAAAACTCCTTGGTTTTTTAAGCTTTTTACTATGATATAACTTTCATAACAAAAAGGAGTACATTTTAGTATTTCACTATTTTGTGGGTCACAACCTAAAAACATTATGTTGTCTTGCACTTTGAAACTAAACAAAATATTTGCTGTATGTTTATATAAATGTTTATATAAATATTCTTGACAAACAAAATATGATA